AGAGAAGGGAGAGAGCAGAGCCTGTGACACCAAGTTCCTGAAGGGAGGAAATAAGGATCTGGTGGTTGACCGTGTCAAATGCAGCAGAGAGGTCCAGAAGGATGAGGACAGAGGAGAGAGAGGCGGCTCTAGCAGTGTAGAGTTGCTCTGAGACAGCAAGGAGAGCAGTCTCTGTGGAGTGGCCTGCCTTGAAACCTGACTGGTGGGGGTCAAGGAGGTTGTTACAGTGGAGATAAGAGGAGAGTTGATTAAAGATATCACGTTCAAGGGTTTTGGACAAAAAGGGAAGAAGAGAGACCGGTCTGTAGTTGTTTTCTTCAGAGGGGTTGAGGGTAGGTTTCTTCAGGAGGGGGTTGACTCTTGCCTCCTTCAGAGAATTGGGAAAACAGCCAGATAACAGAGCGTTGTTGATGAGACAGGTGAGGAACGGAAGAAGGTCAGGCGCGATAGATTGTAGAAGATGTGATGGAATGTGGTCAAGAGGGCAGGTAGGCGGACGGGCAGAGGTTACTAGGGTAAGAATTTGGTTAGGAGAGAGGGCGGTGAAAGAGGAAAGTGAGGGCGAAAGAGGTGAGGTCGGTGGGAAGCGAGAAGTAGGAAGTGGGTTTGAGAAGGAGGAGCGTATGTCAGTTATTTTCTTGGTGAAGTAGTTGACAAAGTCTCCCGGAAGAAGGGTGGAGGGGGGGAGGGGGAGGGGGAGGGGGTTCGAGGAGATTGGAGTAGATCGAGAAGAGTTTTTGGGGTTAGAAAATGAAGATTCAATTTTGGATTGGTAGAAAGAGCTTTTGGCAGCAGAGATAGAAGCAGAAAACGAGGAGAGGAGAGATTGAAATTTAAGCAGCTCGTCAGGTTGTTTATATTTACGCGATCTCCTTTCCGACGCTCGCATGGTGGCTCTCATGGCACGGACCGGTTGAGACAGCCACGGAGCCGGAGGGGATTTGCCAGTCCGTCGTGTCGGAAGAGGGCAGAGGGAGTCTAGAGAGGAGGAAACAGTTGAGAGGAGAGTCTCTGCAGCAGCGTTCGGATGCAAGAGTGAGAAGGATTCAGTTGAAGGGAGAGCTGACAGAACAGAGGATGCCAGCGAGGAGGGAGAGAGGGAGCGAATATTGCGACGAACAGGTACAGAGTCAGTCAATGAGGGAGGTTTGTTAGTTATAGAGAGTGGAAGGGAGTAAGAGATGAAGAAGTGATCAGACACATGAAGTGGAGTTACAGAGAGGTTAGTGGTAGAGCAGTTTCTAGTAAAGATGTAGTCATGGTGATTGCCGGCTTTGTGAGTAGGAGGAGAGGGACTGAGTGACAGAGCGAAAGAAGAAAGTAGGTGTAAGAGGTCAGATGACCTCTCTGTCTGGATGTTGAAGTCACCCAGGAGGATGAGCGGAGGTCCATTTTCAGGGAAATTAGACAGGAGAATGTCCAGTTCTTCCAAGAAATGACCTAAGGAGCCTGGCGGACGGTAGAGGACAACGATGGTTAATTGTACCGGGTGAGTGACTGTTACAGTATGGAATTCAAAGGACAATGGGGTGGATGGTGGTAGAGGGTAAAGAGAAAAGCTCCATTTGGGTGAAATGAGTAGACCTGTGCCACCACCCCTACCAGTGGGCCTGGGAGTGTGGCTGAAGGAGAAGGCGGAGGAGAGAGCGGCTGGGGTGATGTGTTCTCAGGTGTGATCCAGGTCTCGGTGAGAGCGAGGAAGTCAAGTGACTGCTGGATAGCGAAGCCGGAGATGAAGTCTGCCTTGCGAGTTGCTGACTGGCAGTTCCAGAGACCTCCTGTGACGAGGTGCTGGACATGTGTGGAGCGGGTGGGAACGGTGAGAGAGGAGAGGTTACGATAGAGAGCAGATCGAGCCCGAGGCCTGCAGTATCTGCGGGAAGAGATTCAGGTACGGGTAAAGGGGTCAAACACATTATTAAAAATAGTAGAAGAAGGCGCCGCATTCAGCCGCCCCGAAGACTCCACGAAAGACTCCTTTGTCTTTGTGCTGCTCGTCTTCGTGCTGTGAGGATAAGCTAACGCTGAAGCTAACGCTTCCGACGATTTCTAGCTAAATACTCCCTCGTTAGTGGAAGTCGGCTGCGGCTGCGCTGGCCGCTCCCCCGTCGTTTAGGAGACAAAAGGTCGATTGGCCTCGCCAGAAACTCCTCAAAATGCAAAACACCAATAGCTTGACACCCTAATCAGTGAACAATCACCATGTGGTGTTTTGACAAAATGGGAGTTTAAGGATTCAAGTCTTCAAACAGACTTAGATCAGGCCAAAACCTAGCAGAGTTAGGAGGGCACACTGGTAGTTAACTTAATAGTAGAATCTAGAACACAAACTGGCACTAAAAAACTGAAAGAGCTTGAGCAAACTAGCAACCAAGATAACTTCAAACAAAGAGAACTGGCAGTGAAACGACAAGAACTAAAGCAAATCAGCAATCAAATTAACTTAAGACACTAGAATCAACAAGAAATTTAGCAGACTAGCTTGGTTTAAAGAAAAAGATACTTAGTCCGATTTCAGGTCGCCTGGATGTCTGGTAGCCTTGTAGAAGAGATGCACGCTGGCTAGATCAGGTCTGGAAAGGGGAATTTAACCTCTGAACGCCTGCGCTGGCCGCTCCCCCCGTCGTTTAGGAGACAAAAGGTCGATTGGCCTCGACAGAAACTCCTCAAAATGCAAAACACCAATAGCTTGACACCCTAATCAGTGAACAATCACCATGTGGTGTGAAACCCACCGTATCTTTAAATTATACCTGATGACTCTTTCTGTTTTCTTATTCACAGTTCTGTCTGGAATACTACAAAAAGACGATTTGGAAGGTTATGGTAGCTTTTTTTCTCCCAGCTCTTTTTCTTCTGCATTTTCTCTGAATTTACAATGTCCATGTGAATATGTGTTTTCCCTCAGTGGGAGAAGAGATTGAGATGACCCCGCTGCTGTTCAACAGAGGTCTCGCTGACTGCGGCAGTTGGGCTGCAAAGTACTTTGGCCGCATCATGACCGAGACGGTGCACATCGGAGAGGGTTTCGCCCACAAAGCCAGCAGAGTGAAGGTCATTACGGCCTGGATCCCATTTTTGAGTCTGGAAGCGCCTGCATCATCAAAGTTCGGAGCCCCATCGCCTACGGCACCATACAGGAGAGTAACCTCGCGGAGAGAAATCTACAGATAACTAAGCAAGTGAGTAGTGGATCTGGTATACAATCTTTTTTTCTGCCACTAATTTCCTAGGGATCACGATTGCAGTGCAGTGATTTACCTTATTAAATTGTTTGTGTTGCCAGGAATGCAAAGTCCAAAACATGATGCGAGAGTACTGTAAAATCTTTGCTGCAGAAGCAAGGGTCATTGAGAACTTTGGCTTTTCACTAGAGTAAGTACCATGCTTTTATAAAGTGGCTCCGATTCCTTTATAAAATGTGCCACTTCTGCCATCAACATCAAGCCCAATTTGTTTTTTGTTGTCCACAGAGTAATTGCTCAATATCTGATGTACCGGCCTGCAAACTCTGTGCCGTACGCTACGGTAGAGGCTTATTCCGAGGGCGTCTTCCTCACCTACTGCATGATGGATCCTAACGGCAGGCTGGTTACACGAAACGTTTCTGAGGTGGAGCAGAAATGCTGCACCTTCCAGCACTGGATCCATCAGTGGACGCATGGCAATTTGCTGGTCACTCGGCTGGAGGGTAAGACCCTCAAACAAGGTCCTAGTCAGCTCATTTCTTTATCTATTTCTGAGAGGGATAATATCAGTAACCCTCTGTGATTTATTGTTTTTCAGGAGTTGAAACTAAGATTACAAATGTCAGAGTTGTGACCAAGTCCAAAGGGTTTGTATCACAACCAGGAAATGAAAATGTTAGTCTTAGTTTTCAATAGCCAAAATAAAAAGTTGACCCCTTGCATTTCAGATACCAAGGACTAACGGAGCAGGGGTCTCCTGAAGCGTTCGAACAGTTCCAGACACACCATCAGTGCAACTACTACTGTGGACTTCTAGGCCTGCGCTCACTTAAACCTATGGATAGTCTGCAGCAACCCACCAAGATGAAGGGCTCCAGAAGCCCCCTCCTCAACCGCAAGTTGGGCTCCCAAAGCCCCCAGCTGCAGCGAAAAGGAAACAGCCCTCAGGTGTCTAGAAAGGCTAATCCAAGCCCAAAGGTGACTAGAAAAATTGCAGAGACAGAGGACAATAAATCAGGCGCTAAGCCCAAGCCTGCAGAAACTGTTGAGGTCCTTGAAATGAGGTAGAAAGAAGATTTCACTGCTCGTAATGATTTAGTGTTCCTGTTGTTGTTGGCCTGACTTATCAGAAAGAATTACTGTGAATTTCTCCGTTGTCATTAGAATCATAGTAACAAGACATCCGACAAAAGCTTTGGTTTTAACTTTACTCAAAAGCGTATCAGCTGTATCAAAATCCTCCTTACTGAAAAGGTCACTTCTTATAATGAAGGGTTGGACATTTTCTTTGTTGGATTTAAATAGTTTTGGAGAATAAACCCACAAACACAGGGGAAGTTCAATATTAAACGCTGCTCGTTCATCTGTGTTGTACAGCTTTAGAGGAGGACATCATTAATAAACATAAGTTAATTATAGAGAAGTCGTGCTTGGCTTGCATTAGAAATGCATATGCAGCATTTCTTTACGCAGCAAGTTAAGTTCATGCTGTGGAACCACAGCGCTATTTTTAGGTCAACGATTTAGTGCATAGTGTGCACTTTTGAGTAATTTTAAGTACTTTGTCTCAGTTGTGTCTCTGTTTTTAATAGGTACCGATAATATTTCCGCATGGCGGATGCAAAGAAATGTGCAGTCGGGGTTCAGCATTAAACTCTTAACAATAACTTGCCTACTCTCATTATAAGTAAGTAAATGAATGAGCGATTAAGAGGAAGAAATACATGTGTCTTCAGTCTTTGTTATGTCACATCACATAAGCAATTTCTTTTTTTTAAATAAATATGTAAAACATTTGTGTCCAATATAACATTTTCATTTCAGGTTTATAATTTTTGTATGACTTCATCAAACTGATTGATATCTATATTTCTGAAGGGGTTTCCTTTTAATCCATGGCTTTAAATTAAATCCAATATTGAATTAATGTACAATATATTAAATATGCTTATCTTTAAAAGATATGCATATAGGCTTTACATTTTTACATCAACTGTTACAAAGAAATATAAAAATATGGAAAATCACTAATTACAAACCGCAACATCAGAAAGACCGCAGCATTGACAACATTTAGAGAAATACAAAGTGGCGTTTGCTACCGCGCTCCAAGGCCCTTCGAAGTAGACGGTCCCATTGTTTACAGTTCTGCAAAAAAGTATATATATATTTGAGATGTGAGTCCAAATAGCCTCAGGGATGTACTCAACCTACCTGAGTGCAGATATATTAACAATGTGTGTCACTGTGACATTTATATTCCGCCACTATAAAATGTGCATGCTTACTTTTGAAAGAGGTCCTTACAGCAAGTCCCAATATTTGCATCTGTGGCATTGAAAGCCACAGATGTCTTGAACAGCTCCACACAGTCAGTAAGAGGAACGTAGAGGATCCCTAAGAAATCCAGTGGAAGAAACTACTCAGTTACATCACAACACGACTGTTAAAAAAACTAAGAAAAAGTTCTCACCTGCAATGCAAGCGTTGATGAGAGAAACACAAGTGGCAGTGATCATAGCTCTCAACACCATTGACGAGATATCGCCTCTTCTGGATGGGCATATAGAGGCTTTGAGAAAAGAGAAGTCGTTACTAAGAGAGGAGCCTGTGGCAGGACAAAAACACAACGATGGAAGAATAATGCAATACTCACACAAGCCTCCAATCATGATACCCAGCGAGCTCAAGTTGGCAAACCCACAAAGAGCATAAGTGGTGATTATTTCTGACCTGACCTGAAAAATGAAAAAAAAAAACATTATTGCGTTGCATAAAATTGCTCCACTTTATTTCTTCCGCACATAAATTTAGACCTGTATCATTGCCACATTCACTACAATTAAGAATGTTTACTCACAGATATCCATTGTCTTTCACCTCCGATAATTTCATCAAGCCCATTGACTCTGTTGACCTTCAGTCCGGATAGTTTTTGATAAGCCACAAATTCATTAAGGAAGAGCTTTGTGCCGATTAGTTCGGCCACTGTGAAACTCTCCCCGTAGGGTATTCCCATCATAAAGGCCACGGGCATGAATACATAAGAGCAATCATCTGGGAGCACACAGACGCATAAGGATATTTAGTTATTGTTAGACTTACTTTTCATTTCAATATTTATCTACATATTTATATATTCTGTTTTAGATAACCCACTTTGTTTAAGATATACCTGAAATGTAATTGAAGGATAGCCCACCATACCGCCAAACCAACTCAAAGAGGCATTTATGAACTCCAGAATGGCAAGAAAGGCGATCAAATTTGCTGCAATGTTAGCAACAAGACCTATGGAAGCAGAGGCTCCACTGCTAGCAGCCTCCAGGATGTTCTGTTCATCTCTAAGGAGTTGACAAAAAAAATGAATTCGCACAGAAATTGCAAAAGGACAAGAGATTAACTGATGGAAATACACACCCAGCCGCCACTTTGATATTGTTTTCATCCTTGAAAGGACTCTCCTCTGTCTCTGGGTAAGACAGTTTGGAGATGGCCAAAGCACAAGGAGCAGCCATTACAGAAGCTGATATCAAGGAAGATGCATCAATCTGAAAAAGAAGAAATGCCATTTGATGCAGGCCTCTGTAGAAAAGCAACAATCAACACACACATCAATCGATGGTCTGCATGATTGTTGCAGAAAAGGTCAAACTAAACAAAAGGTTTTGTAGTGCTTGGTGTTAGTATTGGTATTCATCCTCACTATCTAAATACAAAACATGTGGAGCTTTGTAAGGAAGTACAATAACATTAGATAAAAATCACTTATCAAATCCGAATTTAAATGGTTTGTTGTGAATTCAAATGCAAAGAAGTTTCCTTTGTGATAATAATCATAATATACAAATTATGACTTTAAGGAAAATAAAATACAAATACCAAGATACAGTAGAAAATATTACACAAATATGTAAATATACATTAATTATATATTATTATAATTATCTAATAAAATATTTGCATATATATACTGTATATATATATGTATATTATCAATCAATTATTATTATCGATAAGTGGATGTGTTCACATTAAAGAGAATGCTTCTCTCCACCAGTATATCCTTTACTGTTTTAATTTAATAGGTAGAATTTTATTTTTCATCAACCTTCCGAATGGTTCTTTTGACTGCATGTCAGCAGAATTCCTGTGTTGCCCAATGTTCTATAATGGGCCTATTCTTTTCTGACCTTGACTAGAGCCTTGTAAATTGTTGTTGTTTTAATTCATGGCTTAAAATGATTTTCAGTTAATATAGGACAAAATTGAGATAGCTAGAGATTCTGTCTCTAGATTTTAATTTGAAAAGACAACCTGCTTCCTTGTCATACATTTATTTTTCATTTTAGTAATCTTTTTTCATGCCTGTAAACATTGTATCTCACCCCAAATGAGATGAACGCTCCCATGACACTGCCTGCAATTGTGGCAAATCCACCAGTCATGACAGCATGGATCTCAGATTTGGTCATGTTTTTTAAATACGGGCGGATCAGCAGCGGCGCTTCGGTCTGATGCACAAACGAGCAGGAGAAAAGAAAAAGCAGATTAACTGTAGGATATTTTACTGCATTATGACTATGAATGTAAAGCGTAAAGAAGACCTATGGCTCATAAAATGTTAAAGGAGAATGATCTCAGAGTGAGATAAGTATCAAAGATAGTGTTGCATCGAGTCTTGCTCAGAGTACCTGCCCAACAAATATATTGCCTGCCACACTCAAGGTCTCTGTGGGAGAGGTTCCCATCGTTATCTGCATGCACCATGAGATCTGCGCGGACAAAAACACATGGATCTTGGTCACAGTGCGACCCTGCAGACATAAGCAGTACGCCCCCCAGGTCCACAGGGACCTACGAGGCTGTGAGGGGAAGTTTAAACTTTGCTCACCTTCAGAATGAGCCACTGCATTATGCCCAGATAGTAAAGGATTGACATCACGCTGCTGAAGAACACAACAATGGGCAACGCCTGAAGGAGAAAGGAAATCATCAAGGTCAAGTTTAACAAGTTCAATATTCACTAAAATGTCAACCACTTACTTGAAAGGCAAATATGTCGTTAATCAGGTTCCCAAAAACAAAACCTGACCCCGCCTGGGTGTACTCGAGGAATGTCTGAAATCATAAGATGAGGGGAGACATTTTTTTTCTTTCCTCAATTCATGGACATTTGAGATGCAATACTCATTCATTCATTTTACTATATGGAGTGAGTCTGTACCGTACAATAAAAACATATTAACAGACTGTAGACAGACAGGCATGTAGTTAAAATATATTACGTGCTTGTAGATAAGAAATATAGTGTAAGCCAAGAATATTAAGCAAACCAAGAGCTTAGTGACTGTTTAGAAATTTGATATTAATACTTTTCCTTGATAGCTTACGTGTAAAAGTGAATTCTGGATTATTTGGAATATAAAATGGGTGGTTTTGTAATCGACACTCATAATAATCTAACTCATCATTGTGAAGCTTAATCATTATCATGTAGCCGATTACTCAACAACACATTGGTTAAGGTAGTCAACGGCATGGGGCCACGTTTACTTCCTGTTGGCCTGTGTCAAGCGCATATTACAGCAACATTCATAACTATAAATAGATCTTTCATAGGTTAATAGGCCCATTAAATACAATACAAAATGTAAGATGACAAACGCTAGACTGCATATTATTTTAATTTTAAAGAACATTCTTAAACAGTTTTTAAAATGCACTTAGATTTTTTTTTAATCAAATACCTGTACTTGTTTTCCAAGCCATTCGAATGCAATGAGTCCAGGCTCTGTGCGAATAATGAAAAGGCCGATACAGAACTGCATTCCGAGGCCCCAAAACACAGGCCTCCATGTCACCTATAAAAGATTGAGTAATTATTTTTTATGACGCCAATATCTATAACGCACTATAACACATGTTATGATCTGTTTATAGCAGTATTCATAATACTCATTAACAAAAAATGTATGATGACGCTTTACGTCAAGCAAACAATACCCACTGATCATTACAAAGTGTTTCTTCATTTGTTATGATTATATCTATATCTGAATGTGCTGTATGCATGTTGTCACACATTATAGAAATAAGCGTCACAGAGACTATTACCATAGGTTTATAAAAAGAAGAGGTTATGAACTATCAGGGAGTCTCTACAACGCCTTACGTTATCACAAGGAAGCACTTCTGCAGAAGGTGATACAGCCACAAGGCCAAACAAAATCATAAATCAGCAAAAAGAAACGGAGATAACACGAGTGATAATGACCAAGCATGTTTCAACAACCGTTGTGTAATGGGAAAATGATATGTGACCCTTTTAAATGCTTCATTTGTATAACCAGTTTATTAGTTGCAAGTGCTTAGGTCACAAAGGCCCTGACATAAGAACTGATGTCTCCCTCTTGGATTAGATGTTTCCAGCGTCATAGCTGTAGAGATTGAACAAAGTGTTTGTTATGTCTATGACCACCTTTGTTTAAGCATGTTGGGAGAGCAAGGATACGGTCAAAGAGCTGACGTGTCTTACATGGATAAGATGTTCCCAGTACCCTGGCTGTAGATACTCAACAAGATGGTTAACGGTTTCTGTTGACGCCACCGATATCTAAATTTAGGTATAAGAACTGCCTCGATGTGTTGGGAAGAAAAGGAGGTTCTTGACAGTCTACTGACCACGTAGCTGTTGTGACCCTTCTTCCCTTGCAAGGAAATAAACGGAGAAAAGACATACTTGACTCAGAGCCTTTGTTTCTTACTTAACGATTGTCTGTGCAAAATCTTCCACCACAGTTGTCACTGCAGCGGCCGTACATCCTGTAGTGGAGTCGGTGACCCTCTGCAGAACTCACCGCTGTCCTGTGTGCTGACAGGAGGAACACAAGCACGACAAACATCCACACCCCTCCAAACGAGATCAGCTGCTCAGGACGCCGGCTTGTGTCTAAGACGAGCCAAAGAACAAGCAGGGCCACAGCTGCTAAAATGAAAACCCTGAAAGGACGATAAAACACACCGTCACCTCATTGACCGATCGCAAAACGTGCAGCTCGTTACCATTAACTGAAAAAGAAAAGGCATTCACTCACCATTTGAAGTTAGATTTTAAAAATGTAACTGCGGGCCTGAAACACTGACTGATGCTCTCTCCTCTGTGCTCCTTCAGGAGTTCATACAATTTAGCAGCAATGGCCAAACTGGTTAGGACGACGAGAGCGATGGCCCTCTGGAAATCCAAAACACAGGCTGCAATAAAGTAAGCCACATAACCTGCAGGACAGAAAAGGGTGTTAGGACTAAAAAAATCCCTATATTCCCAGATGCTATAGAATATTCATATTACCTGCTCCAAGTATGCCCAGCACAAATAGTTTGAAAGCTTGGGAGTGACCCTTGATGTAATCCTCTGTGGCAGTAATCCGCTTGGAAACAAGGCTGAATTACAGGGCAAAACATTCCATTAAAAAATGCGTTTCACATAACTATTCAATTTCAAATTGTTATTGTACTCCATCACATCTGAACAAAGTTTAACACAGAACAGCTGAACAGGTTTTATGTTGGAGGTGCATTAAGGACTATAGATTCATACAGTACAAACACAATCAACATTCCAGAGACTTATTGCTGTGCACCTGCTGTAAGAATTGGACTACAAATCAAACGAGTATTACTTTACCAAAAGCACTTGACCTGACACACCTTAGGTATGAGCTCAGTCCCTTTCGAGTGTTTTCAGCCTGCCTTTTGTTATTGCCAGTAACGGAAATGAAGTCATCCTAGAAAAACGAAGGTTAATTATTTGACAAACGCATTAATCACCAAAAATGCTGTGTCTTTATCTCAAAAAAGATCAAATAAATCAAAATAAAAACAGATACGTGATACACACCCCTAGTTCAAAAGCCTTGTTGTTCGATCCATTTCCACGCACGTGGGTTACGTTGTTGAGCGAGACCCTGTCAGTTTCCGCTGAAAAACACAACCATAGTTTACTTCTACGCGGCAGTTTAACGAGCAGGAATGCCAAACAAAACCTGAGCGGTGTTTGTGGGAACGCCGTGAGCTAAATCCCGTCTACAACTGCAAAACTACCCGCTGAATTAAAGGAAGAGCAGAGGAAACGGCTTACTCATTGTGCGTCCTTCCAACCCAGCCGCCAGATGCTGTGCTGAAAACCACACTGCGGAAAAAGAGCCTGTCCACACATTTATCACTTATTAACAGACAGGGTTGCGTGAACTTTCAATCTCCCTCATGGGAGTATAGGACACAGCCATATGTGCGATAAACGATTTAATGGGTCGTATGAAGCAACATTTTGATAAGGAGTGTTTTGAGGGTCATAAATAGGAAACCTTGTGTACAGGTATGAATCCAGTGGATCAGATTTTTTTTAAAGCTGGCATGTAATAAGTACAGGAGCGGATTAATCATGAATGACATTATGTGTGGGAGGAAACGATCCAATCCAAACCCAGGTTCTATTTATGAAGAAAATATTGCTCCGAAATAAAACAGCAGTAATTCAAAGTTGTATTATGAATTAGGCTTTTTAAGAATACAACATGTTTCTTATTACGTAGATCTACTGTATTTATTTAATCGGCACAAAAACAACTTTAAATATCTTCAGTATTTTTTTTTCTAGGAAAGCTCCAATCACAATTTAAGTTGACCGTGTACATATACACAGAAATAGAAGTATAATACACCAATTGTTTTTGCAAATAAATCTAGGTGGCGCTTTGCATTATCAAATAGCCTACTGTGAATAACATATGTTATAACATTAGAAAAGGTAAAACTGTGACATCAGAGGGCACAGGTTATAATAGCAGCCAATGATAAGCATGTGAACTTTGAATCTAGTATGTTAATAATTGTGATACACACAAAGTAATTCCATGCAATGTTAAATTAATTTCCAGGACAGGATGTCATTTAGATTAACTGCCAGTTCTTGCTGCAGAATCAGTTAGTTTTCTGGACCATTAGATATATTGTTCAATTTGCATATTACTTTCAGGGTGATGAATAATTATTGGATATAAAGGCAGCTATTTGTTCTGGTCACTGCTGTTCAAATGTAATTTCATCACACACGCCAAATCTCTGATTGTTCATAAAACGCCATTTGTTCATCCCAGTGAGCACTATGTGTCTTACAGATGCTCCATGGGGTTTGCATGGGGAGGAGGAGGGGGCGGGTCCACTGTGGGGGTCCGGTTGGGACGTCCAGAAAGGGAATGCGCTCTGCGTAAAGGGAACGATCTGTTCTAGAAACGATTTAATCAAAATTAAACTGGATGTATGTCTCAACATTTAGTGTTCTCAGGAATCAGGAATCGGGAAACATGTATTGCCATAATATGTCAGACATACAAGGAATCTGATACAAAAGTGCAGGAACATGTGTCACCACGGCAAAGGGGAAGAAAGAGCATGACGTACACCAGTGTAACTATAAATACCCTCACCCTTGTCTTACAGGATATCCACAACAAACTCTTTCTCGAGAGGCTTTCGCTCTGTTATGAAGCAGCGTATTCTCAAGTCATAGATCCTGCTACCCTCAAGCTGAAAACATGTCCCTCCTTCCCAAATTAAACTGGTAAATTACACTAAAAAATGTCAAGTGACAGTAGCTCATAAATAGTAAATACTTGGAAATGGAAAATAACACAGGGAAACTGACAGGTTCATGTTTAATATAATTCCAGATCACAGTATGAGTAGTGATGTCTGTGGTGGAAATTTGTGGATTTAGCCCATGTGAGAAATCAAAAGTATCTTGAGCTTGCTTTGTGATTAAGTATTTATTACTAACTAGAGTAAAGGAAAAAGATACAGAATATAGAAATCATCAGCACAAGTCGTAAGCACAGACAGAAGTCAAATGACTACAATTCAGCTGAAAAGGGACAGATGTTCCTTCCCCCAAAAGGAGCAGGAAGATCTGACCAAGTTAAAGAGAAGAATAGGAGGTTTTATACACTTAGGGGCGTTTGTGCTGCCTCAGGACAGGAGAGCCCACCCCTCAAGAGGAGTGTTGGAAAAGTACCAGATGATGTAGGGGTGACCCTGTGACCCTCCCTTTATGGACCCAGACAATCGACAACATCTAAAAGGTCAGTCAGGTATGATTTCATCTGTGTCTTATCTCACCCTGGACTGCCTTAAGTCACCGGCTCACATCAAAGGTCACATTCCTGAGAGCCTCACCCCACGCAGGCTCAACAATTTCCCCCCAACATCCCTCTCTTTTTGTCATTTTTTGACCATCAGGAATCAACTTAAGAAACTCTAAACAACAACCAAATCGAAATTAAGAAAGAAAATTAAACAACAAAAAAAACTCTTAGAACATACATCAGTGGTGTAAATTCACAAAGATTCAGAACAGAATCATTAACTTCTAAGTACTTTGAAAACTCTTGCTAAACATTAACACATACATGCTGTCTAGTTACACACAATCCTCACACTCATCATCACTGTCAGAGCTATCCGGATAGGGTGTCCATTCCTGAACCGGACACCGTATAGTAGTACTTGTGTGTTCAACTGATACATGAGTGCTAACAACCTTCCTTACAAGAGCTTTAAAACAGTTACAATTAGGGTTATAACAATTACAGACAGATTGATGCCCCCTACTTCCCCTAGCAGTTCCTTGAAGAGAGAAGGTCCCTATGATCCAACAAATGCCTGTACTTCCCCAAACGGATTCCAGTTGTGGTCTTCATGCAATTCCTTACTGCCCCGTTCTGTGTCTGCCACCACATCATAAACTGATGACGTTGCATCGGAGATGTAAGCGCAACATTCAGTATGAATCGCTTTGCATACCAAGCCTTGTGCAGCCACAACGAGGTCCAGAGCCATTCTATTTTGTAGTACCATGTGTTTGATGTAATTCACTACAGTCACTCGTACCTAGAGAGGAACCACCTAGAAAGTGATAACGTTGGTTAAGGGATGGACCGGAATCTAACCAACATCACTTTAATATTATTAAATTAATACCTATAATTAATTAATTAATATCTATAGGTCTATTTTCATGATTGAACCGCTTAACTGCAAAACGTACAACTTCCCCCTTTTCACCTTCATAGGCAACTGTGCTTTGCGCTGTTGTCGCCGTGTGCGGTGGAGGAGTGTAACAGTCTTCATCATTACTCACAAATCGATGAGATAGCTCAGGCCACCCCATGACATCCCAGTCGGCTTCCGTGAATGGAACAGGAACCAGCATAGGTGCTCTAGATGAAATGGGCATATGCTGACATATCCAACAATTAGACATTCCTTTTGTTAGCAAAATCCTTCATAATAGTCAACGCAATATTGTCATGCTTGTACGGTGGTGTACGGGTAGGAAGTTCTTAACGTTAGGCTTACTTGCACGCATACTGCCAATCTAGCCGAGTGAAGTGGGCTGGCTCTGTTGTACAGTCTGCAGGTTGAGCGCACCAGAACGGTATTCCCAACTCATGTCATATTTAGGGCTTAGAGTCACCGTGCAAGTGTCGTTTGTCTGAGTCCTAAAATCCTCCGAGTCCAGGACTGACCAGCGACCTGAGTGCGGCGTGCTCAGCCGTAACATGTAAACTTTACAACCCTCCTTCTCAGTCCTCCCTCTCGGACAATTGAGAGAGATCAACCCTCGCCTCCAAGTTGCTTTGGTGGGGGCTGTTCTGGCCTGCGGGAGGTCAGGGCCTGTGGTTTAACGGCCTCGTAAATTATTTCAGGTGGTACTGTTTTAGGCTGTGTCTCGCTGACAGGCCGGTAAGTTCTTTTGCATGCCTCCCTCCAGTTGCTGGAGCCAGTGTGGGCTGGTATCTCCTGACACAATCGTGGTTTACTGCACCAGAATGGTGGATCTCCTAAACCAAATCTTCCGTGCACCCACACAGTACATATTCTTCGCCCAACCTGGCAACATACACAATTTCATTTACGTGACTTTCTATTTTAACCCATGCATCATGTTCGATTGTGTAGAGCAAACACTCTGTCTCGGCGCATTGTTTTGCTGGACAGTGGAAACTTCCTGAAATTCTCTATTGGAGAGATGGAGAAGGCTGGAATCCGTGATGTTCACATAAGGAGGTTGTAGTTCATTGATCGTGAGGGGAATCAGCACAAATGTTGCCAGCGTCAGTGATATGCACATGTTCATTCTCAGGCTCCAACCATGCTTCCTAAGTGTTCTTTGGCGCTGGAGATCTGTCTTCTATCGCTGTTCTTCAGGTGGTTGTCATCTCTGCTGTCTCTGCCGTCCCTGCCGTCTCTGCTGGGCCCGTTGGTGTCTTGGAACACTGCAGTGGGGGAGGGCTCTCCACCCTGCAACCCCTTAACCGGAACCAGATGGAGGTGCTCCTTCGTCTCCTGGATCCGGGATGCGTTTGCAGTGGCTAGCGTGGACCCACGTCGCTTTCCCTTCCACCTTACTGCCGTCTCCGTGGTCAGGGGTACTTGGAAGGGCCCCGTGTAGCGTCTCTGCTTCCAGTGCTTTCTCCAGTGATCCTTAATGAGGACCCAGTCTCCTGGTTTCGGGTGGTGCTGGATTGCTGTAGCTGTGGATGGAAGCGCCGCTTACACCTCTCCGTGCAGTGCTGAGAGTGAAGGGGAGAGGTTAGCACAATATCTCAGCATGCTCATTTATAGCAGTGCACATCCCCCCTTTGCCCACGTGATCTTTTCCGTGAGACAACTTAGCATAAATGTGGAAGAGAGCACGTGGCAAACAGGGCCTACTGTCTACTGAGAAGTGTGAAGGAAGCCCGCCACTAACAAGTGTGCTGTGTGATGTAACCACTGAAAACCCGTGTCTGGTGAGCGAGAAGCGGAGCCGTCTACAAACAGCTCAAGATCTGCATTGGGAAGAGGTGTGTCCAACAGATCAGGCCTTGGTATGCATGTCTGCTGCAAGACTTCCACACAGTCATGAAGCTCTCTGTCATCTGCAGTTGGAAGAAGTGTAGCTGGGTTAAGGACATTGCATCGTTTGACAATTACGTTATGTTGTAGGATACCTGAACCATCTCTGAGCAGAGAGGTGAGAAGTCTTCTGGGCATGTAAGATATGAGAGACAGTAAGTGGGACCATGAGTGGGACATCACAGAAGCCCACAATGTCACATGATGCTAAAATGTCTCTCTCGGCTGCTGCCACTGCTCGCAAACAGAGAGGAAGACCCGAAGCAACAGGGTCAAGTTTTGAGGAGAAGTAGGCAACAGGCCTAAGTTGTCCTCCATGAAGATGACACAAAACTGATGTCATTTAACAGTCCTTCTGGTTTATGAACTGGGTCTACGGTAAGTTGGGTCTCGGTAGGCCCAGAGTCGGGGCCTGTGATAAGGAAGTCTTTAAGTCCTGAAAAGCCTTTCCAGCTTCAGTAGTCCAAGTCAGTTTGTCATGCGCGCTGAGGCCTTTACCGTGGACCATGAACGAGAGAGGTGCCTCTTTTTCTGAATAATTTGGGATCCACTGTCTACAGTATGAAGCCATCCCCAAAAAACTCATAATTCGTTTTTTGTACCAATTGAATTGCCCCAATACGTTTGGGAGAGAGGGATTTTGCCCTCAGCTGTGATCACATGTCCCAGATAAGTCACTTGTTCTAGAGCAAATTTAAGTTTTCGTAGGCAAGCCTTATGTCTGTTCTCTGCCAAATGTTTAAGTAGCGAAATTGTATCAATTTTACAAGCCTCCTTTGATGGGCTGCAAATCATCATATCAGCCACATAATTTAGATGAGCCGACTCTGCAGGGAGTTATAAATTATGTAGATGTTCCTAAGCGCTTCTGTGGAATACACCTGACTTCCGTGGTAACCCACTGGACATCCTATCCATTTATAGCCGCGCCCAAAAAAGAAAAAAAACAAACCAGCTTATGTCTTCTTGTTTGGGAGGCTATACAAGTCTGCGTGTTGTGTGTATTCCTCAACGAGCTCTACTGTTCTGTGTACACTACTCGAGTGATCAACGTAGTGTGATCTACATTACCACTAGCGCTATATTCTTCATGAGGATCCTCTGCACCCGGTCTGAACTTTAGGCCGAGACACAGTTGCAACCATGGACCAAGATCCTGTATCCCAGTGAGATGGTTTAGCCAATGAAATGTGGAGTAGAATCAATCAACACCTTTTTTTTTTTTTTCCTTTGGGAAGGAGAGAGAGATACAGAGACAGCAGCAGCCTCCTCTGACCAATACACATGCTTCAACCACAATCTCTCTTTCTCCAACTTTTGGTCATGCTGTACCTCCACATACCTTCTATCTCGCCCTGTGCTTACATGGGATGTGCAATGTAATGACTGTAATCTTCTACCGTGTGTATGCGCAATTTTACATGGTCATGAGTAATTAATGCATCAAAGTATGCCAGTAGTTTTCATCCATATACATACAGGAGGGTTTTTGGACTGTAGTTACACATCTAAAATAATTGCAATTTAGTTTTTTTTTTTTTTTTTCCGTGTGTGTATCTGATGTTGAGCTCAAACACAATGCCAAATGCTCTTGAGTCAACTACAAGTGTTACCGGATGGCAAGAAATCGTCAACGTTAATTATGGAAATTTCTGAATATAACTCGACATGCAATCTAAGATGTGTGTGTGTGTGTGTGTTTGCAACTATTTTGTTTCGTTTATGAGTATGTGTAGGGTGCGTTACTTTCTCATCGTGGTGGGGTGATCCGTCTCTGGGGTCCGCCCCTCCCTCTGCCTTCCTCAGTCAGACGTGTGATGTGTCTCATCCTCATGTGCTCAGGACACTCTGCTCGCCAATGTCCTTGTTGTCCACAATTGTAACACACGTTTGGATCATAATTCCCATATGTCCGATCTGCCTCTGCCACGATCTCTTCCATAACCTCTTCCTCTTCCACGTTGGCCTTGGGCAAATTGTTGGCACTGCAAGCACGTAAACATTGCATACTGAGCCTTTTCAAAACCTTTTAGTTTGTCCTCTTTCTTGTGTAACTCATCTTCAGCGTGTTCAGCGTGCTGAAGGATGTCTGCAAGAGCACACATTTTCCAGGTAACACATGATCTCTTCAACATCCGTAGCTCAGGTCTCATTCTGCCTATAAAATGTTCTTTCAGATGGACTTCATATGGCATCAGGGGCTGTGCCCCCATCGGATCAGGTGGCTAAAGGCCACTGCGGATGTCAAAAGCTGTCGTCAGGCGAGCCAGGAAGGAGCTGCATGTTTCTTGTGGCCCTTGTGTCATAGAGGTGACGGTGGGGAGGTTCAGTCTCAGAGGAAATTGTTCTTTTACCAACACAATGAGAGCATCTACAGCACTTCTAATGTCCACATCTGTGCCGTGCTCACAATCAGGATCTTTAAGGCGAGCAGCCATTCTTGTGGTGTTGAACACACTCTGAACCTTGTGATAGCCATGTGTCAGAAGTCTGCACATCAGACGCCGCAGCTCTGACATGCTAGGATGGTATTTTCTGACAAATTGCTAAAAATCAGTCTCCCGCTTAGCAAGATTGTCCTTAGGACTGCAGACGTGGCTCATTGCCTTGGTCACATCGGTATCTGACCAGGGTCTGAGAACCAGCATCGGCCCTTGCGCACCCTCGACTGGAAAAGAAGCTGCAGGATCGAACAACGTCTCTTTTTTTTTTTTTTTTTGAGCAAGGCCCGCCTTTGTTGAGCCTGCGAGCGGGTCACAGTAGGTGGAAAGGTCGTCTGGCTGGTGTTGGAGGTTGAATCTGGCTTCGCTCCTGGTGGGCTGTTGTCAAGCCGAGGAAAGGTTGTTTGTGCTGCTTCCTGCTGAGGAGACTGTGGGCTCATGAAGGCTGGAGCTGGAGGAGCAGTGAGGGGAGGGGGGGAGTCCAGATCCGTGTCCACCAATCTCCTCAGGAACTCATAAAAACAAGGATAGGAAGTGTTTTGGGGTTAGAAGGGGTACACGTTTCAGAACTTTTTGTAGGATCTTTGGTCTTTAATGAATTAAATGCTACCAACCTCTGTCTCTCCCTTCTCTCCGACTCATACTTCCACATCTTGAAAGCTTCCCAATCTGCCTTACATACCACATTCTTCTTCTGCTTTCTTCCCGACCGGCCTGCATGCTGAGCTGCATCGTTCTTCTCCTTCCCCCTCAGTTGCAATTCCAACTGCTCCAAATGATTCTTACTCAAACTCCCCTTTGGAGGGAACCCCAATTCAACCCATTTTTGTACTTGATTCAAACTGCCAGGATAACGCTCTGACATAAATTTACACAATAGTGGCAGGATATTAGTCTCATGGTTATCACCTGTCTCCCCTTTACTCTGAACACTACACATTTAGTTATCTGTATCTGTATACCCGGAGTGTACGCGCCTATAAAGGTGCGCACAAACGGAGAAATACCACATGCATAACTAAGGCAAGTCATTGACCGTTGCTTTCTCTGGCCACTCAGCCTACTGCATTAATCCAAAGTTGCGCCTGTGAACTTCAGACACAGGATGTTGCAACCTTGTGACGAATACCACAGGTGACCCAGACACGTCTGTCTACAACACACTCGTTGTGAGGCCTAAAACCCTTTTGTCATGACTCTGTCTGCCTAAAAAATAATTTTGATCTCTCACCGCGTGTTCGTCGTTTCTTTTCTTGAACTGGATGGATCGGCAATCCGGGTCTCGGGACGGCAGCTTCTCACCCTCAGGGAGGAATCACCTATACCATATGTCCTCCTGTCCGTCCGTCAGAGTCCAGATCACGCGTCCATCCCATCCTCGTCGCCAAGTTTGTGGTGGAAATTTGTGGATTTAGCCCATGTGAGAAATCAAAAGTATCTTGAGCTTGCTTTGTGATTAAGTATTTATTACTAACTAGAGTAAAGGAAAAAGATACAGAATATAGAAATCATCAGCACAAGTCGTAAGCACAGACAGAAGTCAAATGACTACAATTCAGCTGAAAAGGGACAGATGTTCCTTCCCCCAAAAGGAGCAGGAAGATCTGACCAAGTTGAAGAGGAGAACAGGAGCTTATGTACACTTCAGGGAGGTTTGTGCTGCCTCAGCACAGGAGAGCCCACCCCTCAAAGAGGAGTGTTGGAAAAGTACCAGATGATGTAGGGGTGACCCTGTGACCCTCCCTTTATGGACCCAGACAATCAACAACATCTAAAAGGTCAGTCAGGGCACGTATGATTTCATCTGTGTCTTATCTCACCCTGGACTGCCTTAAGTCACCGGCTCACATCAAAGGTCACATTCCTGAGAGCCTCACCCCACGCAGGCTCAACAATTTCCCCCAACAATGTCTTCAAATGAATGAACACTGATGGGTCTAATTAGCAGTTCAAATCAGTATTCATGCAGCTTGCCAGAAAATCCTTGGTGTTGATTATTACCATCAAACAGTAAAACAACATAAGCATCTTTCTCTATAACACCACCGTGAGGTGTACAGCACAGTAGGCTGCAAAAAACAACCAATACTGGTATTGATGCATGCTTTATTCTATTTATATCTGGATGATACAGCAACAAAACGCCATTGAAGCAACCAGTCAAAACGGATTGAAGAATGGGGAGCCAAACAAAGGAGTCATGTTTTGCTGGTGAACTCAATCATTTCTCATGAATTTGAGTGTAATAGCTGTAGCTAAGCAGAACACACAGCACCAGAGCAACACCACCCAATTGTCACTTAGTTAACAGCATTTGAATCATGGACAGAGTTTTAAATTGCAGCTCACTGTGTGCAGTGCAATGTTCCCCATTTTATTTATTTGGACTTCACCAGGGAAGCTCATGTTGCCCCGTATGGATTAGTTAGGGGGTCCATAATACATTTTACCAGAGGCCTTAATATGTTAACACCAATGCGTGCTCCAGGCCTGGGAAGTCACCAGGCGGTTATGGAGCCGCCTCTCGTCTGTAAGACATCGCTGAGGGCTTGAGTCGCCCATCTAACGGAACAGGAAAACGAAGTTAACGCTAGTAGCTATTAGCTCGTAGCCTAGCTATGAAACCCTTCTAGCGACAAACCTAGCTTGCCAACACTAAGCGTCTACAGCTTACTAGCCTTACAGCTGATTAACTAGAGCTGGTAAACACAACCGGATCAAATGGTAAGCCCACGCGTGTTTCACTCAGTGGCGAGTTTGCTAGTTTGGCAAAATGATTTACGCAATAGCGTGTTGCTTTGCTAGATTGCTAACTTGCTGTCTTGGCTCCGTGATGAAGGTGCTCGGCTAGCTGACTATCTTGCTAGCTAGCGTTACGTCAACAACTAAACAACATGAATGTAGCTAGTTCGGCCTGTTAAATACTTAACGTGAATACTCGGTAACGTTGTGTTACTTGCGTTAAGTGTATATGTGTTCATATGTAACGTTATATGTGTGTGTGAATGTGTTAATGCATGATCTATTCGATACGCTATCGTTAGCCGCGAAGCTGGTAACGTTTGACTTGGCAGCTAAAGCTAACGTTAGCACACACAACATTTACTCACGCCTTGCCTGTAATGCTTACGGTGTAAATTGAAAGACAAGTCATTTAACTAACTCTGTATGTTCCCCGTAGGTTAATGCGACTGTGCAGCCATGGGTGACATGAAAACCCCCGACTTCGATGATCTGCTGGCAGCATTTGACATCCCAGATGCCACTGGGTTGGATGCCAAGGAGCCCATCCAGGGAAGCCACGAAGAGACGGTCAGTCCGCTGAAACACACGGGGATGTGTCTCGATGACAGCTTACTGAGTAACCAAGCTGTCATCGCAGAAGATATTCCCGCTGTAAGTGTAATCGTGAAAAACACAAGTCGCCAGGAGTCGTTGGAAGATTTCGAACCGGCTTCGCAAAATGGATTCAGTGGACACGAGACCTCCACATGCTCTGTTGAGGCAACCAACACTTTATTTTCTAAATCGTTTGTCTCTGGTTTGAATGGGGATCATTCAAGAGAGCTTTTTGGAAATGCGTCTATTCATCCCAAACCTGATGGAACAGCAATATTTTCCCAGACACTTTCTGATTTTAGTCCCATCTCCAGCCCTGAGCCTGAAGACACTCTGTGCAGTAGAAATGAAATGCATCCAAAACAAGACAGACCCGGTTTCCCTGAAGCTTCAGAATTTGTACACTCTTCCATCCTGGAAAATCCCCCCAAAATGGACTTCAGCGTGTTCGATGACTGCCAAAAGGACTATATTCCCATGAACACTGAGAGGAGTAGAGAGGAAAGAAGTACAAGCGAAGAGTCTTCTGACAACCGTGTGACAGATAAAACACTTGGATTACACAGTGCACTTCCCCCACCAGGGGTTAACCAGAGCTGTAATGAGCCCAGCGGTAACTCGGAAACCACATCGGATGCCCCAACTTATCCACATGTCAAATCTCAGACATCTAAATTATCTTCTTGCTTTGGGGCTCTGGTCGCTCTAAATGCTAGAGAAGATCCCAGCGAGCAGAAAACTCCCAGCGAGTCCTCCGCTGTACGGAATGACTCTACAAAAGCGCCCTCCAGCGTGCCTATATCCCCGCAGAGTCCACTTGAAGCTGTGAAACGGTTCTGGAAACCCTCCGACAGTCCCGTAAGCATATGCAGTGACAGTAGTGGCAAAGCATCCCCGGCGGTGGCAACTGGGTCGCCCCCTGCCATACCGAGGGTAAGAATTAAAACCATCAAAACCACAACTGGGCAGATCAAGCATACAGTCACCAGCGTTCTGCCTGATTCGGAAACCGATGAAAATAACTCCGCGTATGAAGCTTCTCCCTCTCAGAGTCTGATTAGTGAAGATTCTTCCTGCAACGTGTCTCCTCGTCAGTCTCAAAGTGCGTCCGTTGATAGGATTGTTGGCGCGCAAACCAAACGTACGCCGGAAAGTACGTCTTCACCAAGAGCTTTAGTCAAACAATCAGGGGTCAACTCCCGGAGGTCAGGCACAACACATTGTGCCACATTATTCCATAAGACTGGTGGTCTGGTCAAGCATTCTGCTGCACAGCAGGGGCAGAAACTAAAGAGAGGCTCGGCTACAAGAGGCCCAAGTACCACCAGTTTCCTTCCCAAAGCAATGCACTTAGCTAGCCTGAACCTGGTCCCTCACAGCGTGGCTGCTTCTGCGGCGGCGCGATCCACGCCTCATCCTCAAAGCCAACGCGCGCCGACCTCCGCGGTCGACAGCACCGTCCCGCTTGTGCACCAAGTCAAATTGCCCAGCCCGTGTGCTCGCGCGTCCGTTACCAACACAGAGGCGGTAACCTTAAACAGACGGTTGAACCGTGCCAATCCTGTGCCTACGTACGTGCCCGACCTGAACCCCCCGCCAGACAGCAACATCAACCTACCGGCGCGCGGGTACTGCTGCCTCGAGTGCGGGGACTCCTTCGGGCTGGAGAGTAGCCTCGCGTATCACTACAGCAGGAGGAGTGTTCACATTGAAGTCGGATGCACACACTGTGGAAAGACAATGGTGTTCTTCAACAAGTGTGCCTTGCTGGCGCATGCGAGGGAGCACAAGAACAGCGGCGTGATGATGCAGTGCACGCAGCTCCAAATGAAACCCATCGCAGAGGAGCTGATGTTTGTGCCTCAGAGTGCCGTGAATGTGGACTCTCACGACTCGCCGTCGCGTAAAGGTCAGCCTGTCCTGCCCCTGTATCCAGACAGCGCCATGCAGCGCCAGCGCCGTTGCCTGGAGTGTAGCAAGCAGTTTCCTGACCACAAAGCACTGGCGTGCCACTACCAGAGGCCGGCAGAAGAAGGGGAAGGACTTGTGAGTGGATGTTTTATTGAATTGTTGAAGGATGTTTTTGTGTCTGTCAACAAATGTCCGGTGAAAGCCTGCGGCGCTCACCTCCAAGTTCCTACTGAAGACATATGTTTGAAAATGGTAGTATTTATATATTTTAATGGGATTTGTTGACGGCAAGAAAATTATATAAAATCACTAGTTATCCTTTTAAAGGCTTTGGTGACCAGCGTTTATATTTTCTATATTTTGCGTTAGTCCTTTTTGACGCTGCTCTCGTTCCTCAGATGTGCAAGGTGTGCTCGATGTTATTGCCCAACAAGTGCAGCTTTAGGGCTCACCAGCGCATCCACGCACACAAGTCCCCTTACTGCTGTCCCGAGTGTGGCGCCCAGCGTCGTTCTGCAGACATACAGAAACATGTCAGGGAAAACTGTCTGCACTATGCTCGCAAAGCTTGGTACAAGTAAGTAAGCAAGCAGGGAAAAAAAAACAAAAAACAGAAGCCCTTGAAAGCGTTTGGTAGAGTGTTACAAAAAGTGTTATTATGTTTCCCCCTCATCCAGATGTCTTCACTGCGATATGGTGTTCAAAACCCTTCAACCCTGCGAAGTGTATTTAAAAAATAAACACAGCGGAAGCAAAGTGTCCCCTCTGTGAGTCCGCACCGCACAATCTGACGCTTAAAGGTCGCACATTTATGTTTATGGTTAATTTGAGCTGTTTTCTTTTTCTTTTGCAGGACAATCTTTAAGTGTTCATGTGAGATGGTTTTCAAGAAAAAGCAGTCGCTGCTGCAGCATTTCCATCAAAACGCCAGCAAGCGTGTTACGTGTGTATTCAAGTGTCCCGAATGCAACTCGGTCTTTCCACAAAAGCAGTTGTTAATGCATCACTTCAAGGTTTTCTATTTCTTTCATTTTTCTCACGTAAGGGATATGTGGATTTATCTTGCATTCATTTGTGGGTTGGATTTCATCGTGCAATTATTTAAGAACTTGGTTACATTTTTTAGAATCAGAATCAGAAGCCATTTATTGCCACATATGTTACACATGGAGGAATTTGACTTGCAATATGTGCAATATAAGAGAAGAAAAATAAGATGAAAATATACAATCCCGAATTAACAATATAAACCGATAAGTACATTTTCACACTTTCATAATGTGAAAAAAGTTGGATACTTGGGCCATGGTTATTGTGATGAAATTGTATATTGCAGCCGTGCAAAAGGTGAATACTTTGTTTCATGTCGGGGGGGTTTCCATGTATTTCCTCTCCTGCAGGGAGTTCACGTAGGAAACACGACAGCAGAGACGGAACGGACAAGTGAACAGACGGACAATCCCGACTGCAACCAGGATGCTAATTCTGTTCAGCAACAGAAGACGCAGTGCCCGGTTAAACACACAGAGGGCCCCAGAAAAGAGGCTGAGCGGGACAGAAGCCCTCGTGGGAAGCCCACTGGCTGGACATGTGGCGAATGTCTCCAGTGGTTCCCTGAACGGGACTCTTATGTTGCTCACGTGAAGACCAACCACAAGAAGGTGAGAGGTCATAAATGACTCGATTACGTGAACGTCTACTGCGCCCCCTTGTAATAAGATATCACAGCGTTGTGAAAGGTGTGGTTGGATGGATTCAAATAGAAGTTTATCTGTTTTGTCAAACGGTCAAAGGTTGACCATTCAGAAATGAGCTGTATTAAGTTTTCATTATGAGACCAGATTACGTATTAGATGCTGGATATTTCAATATGGCTCCAGTGGTGTCTTCTGTGTTTGTTTGTTTTAAAAAGATTGCATTACAGTTTTGTTATTTTCCTTTATATCCACATACTGATTACTAATAAAGAATCTCATTAGAATTTTCTACAAAATACTCCTTTCAGAAATGAGGTAATGTTCTGGGGACAGTGTGTCTTGTTTCCTGAGGTCAGTGTGTGTAGATTTAATGGATTGAAGCATCATGCTGTCTTGACTCTGTTGGTAATTCTCATCTTCATGACACCATGTTTATTAATTGCTTGAATTTGGTCGTCGAGATTCTAATTTGTACTTCGGCCAGCAGCCAGCCAGCAGCTGCTGGCCGGCTGCTGCTGTTTTTCAAACTACCCTCCTTAGCGAAGCGTGGCGCATTTCAGATGGATGTAATTTTAATGTGACAAATTCAGTTTATTAGTTACGATTAAAGATGAAAATCTCTTAATGTTTATCTGTCCGTAGATTATGAACTCATTAGAAGATAATAATTACCACGGAAGGAACATTGCATTACTATCTCTGAAGCTTATTTTAACACACCTTTTCTTTTATCATTTTATTCAACAGTCAGTTAAGAAGTATCCATGTCGACATTGCGAGCAGTCTTTCAACTCTACAACCAGTCTGAGAAGACACATTCGCAGTGACCATGATGGAAAAAAGAAAATTTACACTTGCTGGTAAGAGTTTGATGTTTGAAAATCCCAGCTGTCACAACTTATCAAATGATTGAAATTCACATCCATCTTGTCTACACTTCAGGTATTGCACGGACACCAAGACCACATTCACCACCAGCGTCATGTTGAAGAACCACATCAGTTTAATGCACGGAATCAAAAATCCGGATCTTAGCCAAATGCCGAAAACAACCGTCCAGGATTCAAAAAAGGCTTTTGGCAAGGTATTTATTTACATTTGATTGTTTAACAGAACGACCAATAATGACTGCAAGCACAAATCAAATGTTAGGAATCTCACTAATCCCCATTGTTTTAAGTGTGCGGCTTCTGTGCTTTGCAGGGGCTCTTATCAGAGCGACCCGCCGTAGACACACAGGTGGAGGCGCAGGAGGGCGCTCGCGGTCTTGGCGCTCCTCCAGCGAAACGTCTGAAGACTCAGTTCCGCTGTTCAAAATGTGGCTTCGTCACAGATGACGGTGCACAGTTCCAGCGGCACATACCGCAGCATAAAACGGACAAAAGCACCCCGCAGTGCCGTCACTGCGGCCTGTGTTTCACGTCTCCGTCGTCCCTCAACAGACATCGTTTCATCGTGCACAAAGTCAAAGAAACAGAGGGGGTGGGGAAAAGAGGAGAGGAGGTCGGGTCGAGGCAGAAGGTGCAGGTTGATGAGCCAGTTAGATCAGCGGACAGGGACGAGGTCGATGACTTGTTGCCGGGGCCGAAACGAACCTGAGCCCCCGCGAGTAGCAGAGCGAGTGAGTCCGGGTCCCTGTGACGAGACCCCGGACGGTAATGTGAAACAAGGCGCACACTCTCCGATACAGGCGGCATCTCTCCCGTAGGGAGACTCCTTCTGCTTTAGTATCTTCAGTGTTCATGTGAACGTAACGAGGGGTTGATGTTCTGTATGTTCGGCCAATTCAATTCAATTTTATTTCAGTTATTCAGAGGCTGTGCAGTCTATTCAAGCACATCCTTGACAATTAATAAAGGACGCTATTTTCATGAATGAGAGGACAAATTAAAATTAAGTTTTCGATTGCTTTTACTTAACTTTGCATGTTGGTAATGTATTCATCTTGCCACGCAGACTTATTACACCTGAAGCTTTTCTTATAGATATTATTTGTTCTTTCCCGGAATGTTCCATCCACCTTGACGCGAGACACCGCATGGTCGTCATTTTTTAGTTTTAGTATTGATCGATGTCAAAGGGAAGAGGTGGATTTTGGCCTTTTTGTCATCAACTTTTATTTCAAAGGCTTTTTTGTATTTAATACCGCACATTATTACCTGAATGGTATCCAGGTTGCAGTTTCTATGTTATGACTGTTGCGAATAATTTGCAGTACAAAGCTAGATTTGTAGTTGCCACTTATTAGAAAACATGCTATAGTTCGGTGTTCATTTAAAGTAAAATCTCTGCATTCTTGGTAAACCGTTAATTGTAAAACAATCCTGATTTAAATACAGAAGAGTTGTCTTGCTAAGCAAAGCCTACTAAGACTTTCTTTTGCGTATTTACGCATTTTGCTTTGCTGGCAAATGCTTTTGAGTCTTTAGGTGAACGTGTTTGAGTCATGGGTGCATGTGTTGTCCCAAATCTGTGCTTTTACGTGTATTTTGTGAACGAGTGTTAAGGTGAAGCTTGGAGAGGTATGTGTGAGGTGTGTGTGGTGCAGCAGTATTGAAAATACCTCAAATTGCCACAAGTGTATTTTTCAGGCAAGTGAACGTTGATGTCAAATCAGGGTACATTGTTCTGGAGGATCCAGAGCAGGTGTGTGAAAGTGAAGTTTGGCGGCATATTGGAGATGGTGTTTTTTTAAATCGGGACCTGTTGACATAATGACGATAACATTACTAGCGTGATCAGTAGAGTTTGTTAATTCTCTAATGATTTTGGAATGACGCAGCGAGCGGAGGGTACTTCGGTTTGCACGTCCTGATTTGTAAAAGCAGCACCTCCCTGATTTGTTTTGAATATGTGACAGTTCCTACCTCCATGTTTAATGGCAGTGATTGTTAAAAAAAAAGAGTTGAGGAGTTGCAGGTAACCTCAGTGCAATGTAAAGAAAAAATAGTTTGTGAAATGTACTATCCCACATTATTGAATTTTATAAATTATTTGGGGAATGACGTCAAGGTTATATGGTCATATTGACTTAACCCGCAAGTGAACTTTTCTATTTAAGTGCTGTGTAAGCACTTTGTTCCTCTGTAATCTTACATCCTTCATTTACCCAGCTGCAGCTGTTGAACTGCAGAAACTGAAAAGAATCTCACTATTTGTTCCTTTTTAATGCTTGTTGAAAGGTATTTGTACTTTTGATATTGTGTAAAGCAAAGTCTCAAGTAGGAAAGTAACATGTGTACATAAGTAGCCAATGAACCCCACGACTCTCAGCATTTCTTAAGCCATTACGTCTGTTCAGCATGCGGTGGCACATGTGCCTTGCTGTAATGTTTACGTCAAAGTACCTAGAAATAAATTGGTGCATTTAATTATCTATCTGCTCTTTTGTCTTGTGTTGAAATGGTATTTGGTCATGATCATTTGTGCGTTTGAACTGAGGTCATCTAATTTATCGTCATCATAGCAAGTCTGATTGACACCAGTCATCCATCCCAGATTCAATAACAAAACCAACGACCGATGAACTCATCACGTTAGAATATAAAGTCCATCCTCTCTCACTATAAGTGCCTGGCCACAAAGTAACGGGAGCAAAGAGATCTTAGTTAACCGGCTGCACACCGAACAAGTTTGAGGAATGAAAGGCAATTTGACAAAGATCTGCAGAGCAGGATTCCTGTCTTCTTTCATTCTCGTCTACTACATTGCAATGACATCTTCAATGACTCCTGATTTAACTGAACTGAGAAATAAAGTTTCAAAGATCAGGATGACTCCAAAGGGGAATCTCTGGGCGACAGGTAAGACAAATAGAACTATCCCGGCTCATTTCTTCATATTTTTTTTTACCCTGTAAAAAACAGTTTATGTTGATGTGTTTGTTTTAAGGGCATTTCATGGGCAAGAAAAGTGTTATGGACAGTCCCTTAATGAAGTCTGCCTTTGAAGATGTAAAGATCCCCACCGGCAGGGCGGTTAGTCTGCACCGAGTGGAGGACCTGAAAGCACTGCTCTTCCAGATGTGGAAAACTGCCCAACAAACACAACAGAAACATGCATTGAACGTGTGAGATGATGAGGCTGTTAATCTATCATTATTATTACTATTATAGCCAATCCTTGACTTCACAGCTCATTCTTTTTCATACATGTAGAGGAAGAGGGCGTCCTGCTTGACGAAAATTAGAACCAACACTAACAATATGAAGACCCCTTGAAGAAGACAAGGGTTTTTAAATCTTTTTTTTTTTTTTAAAGCTATGATATATGAATATGGTGACGTTTTCAATGTGATATGTAACATTATATAGGTTAATATAATGCTGATGTTCTGTTCTTGGGTGCAGTTATTTAAACCCAATGTATAATCACCAATAAAAAGGTATAGAAAAACTATTTATCAGCTATGATCTTCTTTATGTCAAAATGTATCTTGCATTTAAAAAAGCAACGACTGGAATGAAAATACGTTTTTCTGTTAACCAAAAGTATTTAACCGCGATTGTTTTATAAATGATGTTTTATTTACCCTCGTCCTCAATGACTAACGTTACGTCCTTTAGCTTATTGGCGCCTCCTGTTGGTGGTTAATGGTAAACTAATAACAAACCAGATCCGGTTGAAAGTGCCACCATGCTTTTCATCAAATCTTAGACTGCGTTGTTTGGTAGCAGTTAATGCCTCTTATAGTTTTGTGTGGTTACCCCTGCAGCGGCAAAACACAAAGGGCCGAAGAACTGAAGGTGTGTTTTGAACGCCGCACCGACCGAAAGGTTCACATTGTAGGAGACGCAGCGCTGGGCGTTGAGAAAAACACTGTTTACGCAGGCAAGTCGAGCTAATGTCTGCTAAGCTAACGTGAAGTCTCCCGTTAGCCCCAGCGGGCACGTTAAGCTAACGCTGTTAGCCTCAGATGCTTATTAAGTTAGTTAACCTTTCTTTCCAGATTTCAAGTAAATAGTGTAGCCGGGTGAAGAGGGGGCAGGGAGGTTTTTGGACTGCTAGATGGTCCGCACAGAGGGAGAGGGCGTACTGCCCCTTTAAGTACATTGGCATGAGTTCACGTGGGATTTGGAGCTGCAGAGCGGGACCTAGTGGCTACTAACACGACACAGTGTTAGCGGTTAGCATCGGAACAGCGTTAGGGAAATACCTGTTCAGCGGGTCAGCGTAAGTGTTCTAACATTAATAAACCTGACTCACCATGTAAATTGTGTTAGCTCTATTTCATGACATCCTGTTCTAGTTAGTAAAGCGAAGCAATTGGTTATTTGTTATTTGTACACTGTTCCAAGTGCCTCCCTAATTTGTCACATTAAGGCTGTGCTCCAGGAGTGCAGTCGGGGGAAATAAAGAACCCACATTAAAGAGAAATACATTTATATTAGTGTCCTGTCATCTTAATCAGGCTACAATAGTTTTGAGTTATTTTGGGAAGTGCTTTTTACAGGTTAGCACCAACAGGTTTGCATTAAACTGAACGTTAATTCAACCACTATACGTCACGCAGCTGTGTGAAACGAGTAACCTACCGTTGAGAAAACTGAAAGAAGCCGCTAAAGTGGCTGTAAATGAAATAAAACGTAACTTAACGTCACATTAGCTTCGGAAAATGTATCGTCAAGCAGCATTAATTCAAGAGTAGTTGAAGTGAAGCTTGGTGTGAAAATACCCCTACTAACCCATGGTAGAGGCTCTTCCTATGAACGACAAAATAAGAATATCTTTAACCTTACTTAGATATTAGATTAGATTCAACTTTATTGTCATTGCACAGGGTACAAGTACTGAGGCAACGAAATGCAGTTTAACATCCAACCAGAGTGCAAAATAGCAAAAAGTGCAGAGTATGTGCATATGTAAAGTGTAATGAGTGAATAAATAGATATGTACAGTAAGAAATAGTTGTGCAATATGAACAGTAAGAAATGGATATACAATAACAGTGCAAATGTTCAGTGGCTGGAGGAAGGTGTGTGGCAGTCAAGCCAGGGTGGAGGGGGGAGTACAGTCACTGAGGGAGGTGTGTGTGTGGGGGGGGGGGGCAGAGTTCAGTAGAGTGACAGCCGCAGGGATGAAGCTGTTCCTGAACCTGCTGGTCCGGGAACGGAGCACCCTGTAGCGCCTCCCAGAGGGGAGGAGGGCAAACAGTCTGTGATTTACGGTCCGTGACAGAGCAGCTGCCGTACCATACTGAGATGCAGTCTGTAAGGATGCTCTCTGTGGTACAGCGGTAGAAATTCTCTAGAATCTGAGGAGACAGATGGGCCTTCTTCAGTCTCCTCAGGAAGAAGAGACGCTGGTGTGCTTTCTTTACCAGGGATGAGGTGTTGAGGGTCCAAGAGAGGTCCTCAGAGATGTGGACACCCAGGAATAATACTAATACTACAACAGTCAACGTTAGTTAAATATCTGGGTATTATGTTTGGTTTGGAAAATTCTTTTCTCAATTAAGTCATAGCGAGGCATTTTATTTGTATCTGTTGTCAAAGAGATTGTTGAGAATTAACAACAGCTCAAATGGAAGAACAGAGATATTGAATACAGTCTCAAAATCCCAAAGAAGACTATATATATAATGTATAGAACTGTAACTTAAACCTGGTTGGAAATGTTGCAGATTCACAAAAGGAAATAAACGTCCGAGCATCTCTGAAAGCTGAAGTGGAAAGGTTGGTTTTTGGATCCCATTCATCAGTTCCCTCCTGCTGTCGCTGCTCCTTTTAACCATTAATTTCTTCTTTAGGAAAGTCAACAAGGATGACATTGTTATTGCTAAGGTAGTTTTCTTTATTTGTGCTATGATGTCAATGAAAGCATTATGATTTGTTCCTGCGTTGACCTTTTTAAAATCCATACACTTTTCAGGCTACCGCTACGAACTTTTCTGTCTCATCAAACATACGCAGACACCACACTGCCTGGTAAGTATGCTATAGAAATAATTAATATTGAATATCTAAAAAACTATAAAAACACTTAAACATAAAACACACTCTATTTTGATGAAGGTATACTGTTTAACGTCGGATGAAATTAGCTCAACGTGAAACGCAAGCAGAGATGCGGCTGAACGGTACAACCAGGACATGTGAGTGAGAAGCTTCTGCACACTTAACCGGCAAGCTTTTACAATAATGAAATTACCTTTATTGAGATGGAATATATCCCCCTGCTGCAAATGCAGAGCAAGTGCATGTCAGGATTTGTATGGATGCCTGTAATACAATTTTAGTTTTTTGTGTCTGGTTCTTATTTTTTTTAGCTTTGACGCATTGGTGCTGAGATTTGAAGCTCCAGAGTCCAGAAACCGATGGGACAGTCCCCTCTTCACCATCCTGAAAGATGACGCGTTGGTGCTGAGATTTGAAGCTCCAGAGTCCAGAAACCGATGGGACAGTCCCCTCTTCACCATCCTGAAAGATGTCGCGCTTCCATATGAGGACATTTCTGAGGCACTTTTCAAAAGGAAGGCCCCGCCCCCTAACCAGTCTACACAGAGTGTAAGAAATAATAGAATACAATGTTCTATAGATGTAGTGCTTTCGTGCTGCCTTTTCATTATCTGATGGTAATATTATTTTTCTCTGCAGCAACCACTGTCATCTGTGAACTTCTTGCACGAGTTGGACAAGATCACACAAGATGTGTTATTGGTATGTTTTTAAGAATTTGTGGGTATTTTTAATTTCTTGCTGGGTGTTTCACCGTTACACGCTGGGATATAAATTTAGCTGGATCCGGTTTATCTTTTGATCACAATGGTGAAAATTCAAAATGACAAATCATAAAAAAATCACTTCTTAGACAGCGTCATGTCCCTGAGCTCACAACCCCCCTGATGAAGCCGAAGATGCAAAACCTTTATTAAGCATGTTGAAAACAGTCAAAGCACCGAGGGAGTTAAAGATCTGAGAGCTGACTGCTGCATCGCAGCAGGTATTCAAACCACAGTGTTATTCTTCTTACAACGTTAAGTTTCCTTTATTATTTATATGCAGTTTTTGCAAATACCTTTGCAGCTGTAATTATTTTACTTATTTGTGTGTCTCTGCTATTTACCGCCAAATAGAACCTCAACCTTTTTGCTGTTGAGTAAACCTTTCAACTGGTTTTGCAAAGATTTCTTGATGAATTAAATTATTAGAAGAACAATAATTTCCTTATTTCAAAACAATTATTATCAGTCCAATTTAAATAATTAGTGTAAAGATTTTAAACTCCTCGCATACCAAAGCATCTACGGAGCTGTATTTGTCATCAATATGCTACATTATGTATGTTGATTATGTTCAATAAATGTCTATAACATTTTCAGGCAATTTTTAACTCACTGAAAACGAGCGTTCCAGGCGATGTCATCACAGTACCCGGAGCCATCGAAAATATATCCTTCTTGCATACTTATATGTCATTATTTTCATTTAAAAAAACACCCCTTTGAAGGACTATTTCAGAGGTGCGTTTATTTCAATGTGGGATGTCACAAGTCCAGAGAGCAGTGACCTTTCTCATGAAAATACTACTAGTCGTCTACCTCAAATGACGCGTTTGAAGGAGGAGGTGGATGAATGCGTGTCCGGCGATTCTTTTTATTTTTTTCATATGAAAGGCACAGCAGCTGATCACTTTTAAAGGTCTTGCCTGTAATAACATACTGTGGGATACGTAGAAACCAAATTACATAGATAAGTGGCTTTTTATTGGCATCTGCACATCATCACAACCCAACACTTTTATTTTTTCTCCTGAATGTTGCTGTTCCAAGCAGGGACGAAATCAAAAGTACGTTAGGTTCTGGTTCTGCTCCTGTCAACCCTTTAATGGCAGGTGCATCCACTGACGTGGCGTCGGTACATCGACTGCTTTGTGTTCTCCTCAAAGGCTGTTTGAGGCAAAGGTCGTTGCTTCTCACCTGCAGCAAAGTTCTTCTTGTACCAAATGTCCTTAACCTGAGGTTTTAACATCGAGCTCACCAGGACCATCAACATGGCAGAGCTGAGGAAATTACGCCGACAGTTCATCAGCTACACCAAGACGCACCTGTTGTGTTCAAAAATGAAGAAACGCCAGACGGACAGAGGTCATCGCTGATCAAAAGGTTAAAATCAAATGTATTTAATAAAAGAGATGGCGTTTTGGTAAAAAGAACATCTCAGCTGAGGAGCCGCTGGTCTCAGCAACCAACAGGCCCCAGGTCAGTCCTTTGACCATCCCTAGTGCCCGTCTGTTCCTCCACCAGTGAACTCCAGAACAATGGTTCCTACAGGTATTTATAACAATGCTTAAAGGTGTGAAAGTTAGTGTCCACACCTCTAGGAGTGGTCTTCTGGTGAGTTCAATGTACCTTTTTATTCATCTTAGGCTTTGTTATTTCTGTACTTTTTAAAATTCATTTAAGCTCCTGCAACTTCTGTATTTTTTAGAAATTCTATTGAAATTTAGCTTCACATTTCTGAAAAGCTGAAATAATTTCAGCTTTTCTTATGCCTGTATTAACAGCAATGTTTTAATATTCATTTCTGTATTTTTTTGCAATTTCTAAAATTTGCAATTTCAACTCCTTCACACTTTCAGCTATTAAAACCCTTCAAATATTAAAAGGTTCCACTCTTTCATGGGAGGGGGGCTATGACTTTTCAGCTTTCTACTTCTTATTCTTGAATTTATATAAATCAATAATCATTAATATTTTAACATGGTTTTCAAATGGAGTTTGCTTTCAAATCCTCCTAAACTTCAACTTTCAGATTTTTCAGCTTCGCAAATCTTTCAGCTAGACATCATTTAAACTGTCAAATGTTGACACAAGTCTCAACTATTATATAAAAAAAAATATCTATTCTACTTTTTTCATAATCACTGATTATGTTTCACTAGTTCTTCGCTCCGTTTCATTAGTGTTAGTGAGAGTTTTACATTAGTGTGTATTGCGTTTCTTAAAGGGAGACCTCGAGGGCTAGAGTGTGGAGTAGCGTCAGAATCTGGTTAAAAAAATATGGAATTTCCTTCCAGCCAAAGTATACACTTTTATTTATTACCGGACAGACATGAAAACGACATTTGCGTTCAGTAGAGTCTTGGGTCTCGCAAAAACGTCTTATTTTTTAGATAGCTGTTATAGTTTTGCGCTAGAGGACACTTGTTTGAGGTGTGGATTCTGCGTAACTCGCTGTCCTGTCTCTGCCCTATTCAGCAGCCCGCGGAAACAGCAGCTGCGCCGTCGCCATGACAACTACACAGCCTCGTGCCAGCACCCACTCTCCCTCACCTACGTGGAGAGAACACGGCGCTAGCTAACACGGCGCTAGCTAGCATTTCACCAGCAATAACATGACCAAACGGCGGACAAGTGGCTAAAACAGCGTGCCAGCACTCACTCTCCCCCCCCTACGTAGTCTTGACAAACACACAGGCCTACGTGGGAGGGAACATGGCGCTAGCTAACATTGCACATGCAATAACAGTACCAAACGGTTGACAAGTGGCTCCAACAGCCAGTGAAAATCTCTCATGTCTTTAGATAGCTAGCTAAGCTGTCTTTGATTGCCTTTGTGGCACTGACTCATGCAGACATAATACTACTGGTATTTTTTATGCCTGTATTAACAGCAACATTCTGTGTTTCTTTTGCAATATTTCACATTCATTTCTGCTTTTTCAACAAATCTATTGAAATTCTTTTCAGCTTCTCCCACTACTAGGAAAAGGTACTACTAGTATTTCTACTGGTATTAATCAGGAATCAGGAAACATTTATTACCAAAATATGCCAAACATACAAGGAATTTGTCTTTTCGGTGGTGCGCGACAGTAGACAATGTGACAATAGACAAGACAGCAGTGCACAAGTAATAAAATAAAGTAAAATGAAATGCTAATGCAATGGGTTCGTAGAATAAGGCTATGGGTTAGTATAAAACAAGGGAATAAAGTTAAACATTTTAAATATTAAAAAAGAAATATTTAGCATAAAGTGCGAACAAGTAACAAAGTGACGAGTGACGACAAAGTGATGAATTGCAGTTAAAGTGACGTGTGCAGTATGAAGGAGAGTGACCGGTGGAATGTTATAGTCAGTCAGTGGGGGACCGGCTCTGTTGATGAGCCCGACTGCCGACGGGAAGAAACTGTTGGTGTGGCGGGAGGTCTTAGTCCTGATGGACCTCAGCCTCCTGCCAGATGGAAGGGGCACAAACAGTTTTTGTCCGGGGTGAGAGGGGTCGGCTACCATCTTTTTAGCTCGCTTCAGAGACCTGGAAGCGAACAAGTCCTGCAGGGACGGCAGATTGCAGCCAATCACCCTCTCTGCAGAGCGGAGGACACGCTGCAGCCTGCCCTTGTCCTTGGCTGTGGCTGCAGCGTACCAGACGGTGATGGAGGAGCAGAGGATGGACTCCATGATGGCCGTGTAGAAGTGGACCATCATCGTCTTTGGCAGGTTGAATTTCTTCAGCTGCCTCAGGAAGAACAACCTCTGCTGAGCCTTCTTGGTGATGGAGCTGATGTTCAGCTCCCACTTGAGGTCCTGGGTGATGATGGAGCCCAGGAAACGGAAGGAATCCACAATAGTGACGGGGGAGTCACACAGGGTGATGGGGGAGGGTGGGGCTCTGTTCCGCCGGAAATCCACAACCATCTCCACTGTCTTTAAAGCGTTGAGCTCCAGGTTGTTCTGACTGCACCACGACACCAGATGGTCAGACTCCCACCTGTAGGCGGACTCATCCCCACCAGAGATCAGTCCAATGAGGGTGGTGTCATCCGCAAACTTCAGGAGCTTGACGGACTGGTGGCTGGAGGTGCAGCTGTTGGTGTACAGGGAGAAGAGCAGAGGGGAAAGAACGCAGCCTTGGGGGGAACCGGTGCTGATGGTCCGAGAGGCTGAGACATGTTTCCCCAGCTTCACGTGCTGCTTCCTGTCAGGCAGGAAGTCTGTGATCCACTTGCAGGTGGAGTCGGGCACGTGCAGCTGGGAGAGTTTGTCCTGCAGCAGAGACGGGATGATGGTAATACTACAATTACTACTAATGTTACTACAAATACTACTATGACTAATAGTATTAGTTTACAGCTGATAATACTGCAGCTACTAATACTATTTTGGGTAGTTTTAATCTCTGAGATGGCATTTTTATATTTCCTCTTGGATATTTCTTGGTAAAATCCGTTTACTCTCCCCGGTCTGTGATCAGCCCAGGAAACCAGCAGCGGCGCCATCTCCATGATGACCACATAGCCTCGTGCCTCACTCAAGGCTGGCGCGTGCTTCTGCATCTGCGTTGTTGCGCCGACGCACTCGTTTCAATTCATGGTTCTAAAAGTCTTGCGTGTGTTGCAGAACAACAGGTGGAGTAACGTGTTTGTTGAAGACGACCTAGAGAGTCACGTCTTTGTGTGTGGAAGTCGTTGGTTTGTTTATTTATTTACCATAGACTTTATTGCCCCGTGCATCCACACTGCTGCTTTTCATCGCGGACACATTTGTCCCGTATTTTCCTCCACAACATTGTTCCTCTCGACCGGCAAACCGGCGTTTGCGGAGATCTCCCTGCTCCCGCTCTGAAAATGCCGAAGCATAAACTAAGCTTCACGCTCTCTCTCTCTCTTCCCTACGCAGTCTGACACAGACAGGCAGGCTCACGTGGGGTGGGTTTCTCAGCCAATTACATACTCTCTAATCTTGTCCAACAGAAATCTTTCATTCAATGGGTGAGCTGGAAATAAGAGAATCCTTGACATCTGACTCATCATTCTCAGTTACATCTCTCATCATCATTTACATCCTGAGGTCAAAAACAGAGAGTAGTGTTTTTGTCCTCATAAATGTGATGATAATCAAAATGATATGAAAAATACCTGACATATACTATATATCTCCTTTTATTGACAAACCATTACGAAACAATACTATTATATAACATTTTTTTAAACATTGCTAATTTCTAAGATGAAATGTGTTCTAGCTTACTCACTAACTTAAGTTTCCATTTTTATATTTCAGAATGGCCCTAAAACAGCCTTTTGGGACCAAACCGCCCCCGGGTTATTTTAAACCACCACCAATACACCTATGTGTGGTTCTTAAAAAAGAGCAGGCCAGGGTGGTGACCTGGAACTCCAGATTTCAGGAGGGTGGGAGTTATTCTTTCCAAGTGGAGAGCCTCCCCTGCCCCCCATCCCCTCTGACCCCCCTGAGCTGCTGTACAGGTGTGGCCGGGCTGTTCACCGTGCAGGGGGAGGTCCTCGAGGTGAGTTCAATCTTGGCCTGTCGTGGTGTAAAACAGGGCAACGGGTTTAATATTTGTTGCATATTGGCATAAATTGTTATTAACTCACAATCCATCTTGTTAAAAGTGTCAGTGGTATGAGATCAGCCTCTCCGCTTACGTTCTCTGCCCCCCACCTTCTCTGACCACCCTGAGCAGCTGTACAGGTATGGCCGGGCTGTTCACCGTGCAGGGGGAGGTCCTCAAGGCGAGTTCAATCATTTCCTGTCGTGGTGTAAAACAGGGCAACGGGTTTAATATTTGTTGCATATTGGCATAAATTGTTATTAACTCACAAATCCATCTTGTTAAACGTGTCAGTGGTATGAGATCAGGGCTCTACACTAATGTTTTCCTCAAGGAGTACATGTGCTCCTAAATGAAAAGAATTTAGCAGTTTTTTTTAAGCAGTTCCTGCTCATTGCCACACTATTTCAGTGCTTACCCATTGCAGAGCCATAGAAAAAGAGTTGCGACACTTTTTATATGGCTCTGGCCCATTGGTTGCAAATTGTCGCTCTCATTTGCATAAAGTTTAGTGCATCGGGTATCGTTTTTTTTTTTTCCAATACCAGTCCTAACCCGATGCTTTTAAAATGATACTGGTGCCTAAATGGTGCCTGAACCGATACTTCTTTCGAGAAAGTAAAAGTACATTATGAATGATGAAATTGGAAAAGGGGTTTGTTTTCTTCCAATTGAAAAATATATTAACCGTTTAAACAATACTGTAAATATAAATGAAATAAAAAACACTTTGGTTCAAACTTAACGTCAAACTATGAACATTATATGAACTGTTTAAAGTTTAATTAGTGTTTACCATCTTTAAGAGCCAAAAGGTGTATATATATATATATATATATATACACC